AAACTCCTTAAAGGGGGTTATATAGGGGATTACATAGTGGACTATTATAGGGGTTATTAAGGGGGATACTAGGAGTTTAGACTATAGCTCACATGGAGCCTTAGGCTGACCCTAAACACTGAAATTTGAATCACGGGCCTTAGGGTAACTGAGTAAGCGTAAGCTTACAAAGGTTCGGACGATCCATCGGAGCGACGTGCGCTGTACACCTGGCGGCCTCTTGGACCACTTTCGGACCAGTTTAGGGCTTAGGGTTTACGGTCTAGGGAGTTTTCCTGCTAACATGTAGAAATGGCGCCCCGACGCATGTGGGGGGGGGGGGGCGGCATATCCTGCGACGGCGCATCTCTCATGCAGGCACCTTAGAAAAATGTGGGTACAGCCTAAGCAGGCTTGGGTGGGGATTTAAGGCTTAGGGTTCAGGGGTTTGGGCTTAGGGATTAAGCTTTAGGGGTTAGGGTTTAGGGGTTTGGGTTTTGGGTTCAGGGTTGAAACGTAGTTCGAGGGCTTTTGTTGAGCAGTGCTTCGTGCTGCATATGTAAGTAAGATTGCAGCATATCTTCAGGAGAATGTACTCTTAATGTAGACCCCTGATTAATAGAACCCCTCCCCTTAACAGGGACTATAGCAGGGGTCCTAGTATTAAGGCTCGTAAAAAGATGGGGGTTATTAATTATGGGTCCACATTACACCTTTGTGAACCTTTGTGACCCCGTTGTACGACACTATCCTTGCTGTTCTTAGGTGTTGAGTACTCACGCAGGGCTGTGTGAGGCGTAGGCTTTACAGCTTGAAGACGCGTGTGCGGATTCTGCTTCTGAATAAGTTGTCGTGAGCAGCAGACTGGCGTCCTCCAGAAGTGCTATGCGAATCCATGATATCCCGATAAGCTGCGGCCCTATGTCCCTACATGCATACCCCTGCATTTCTATCAAAGTGGCGTCCCACAGGCAAAACAAGCGCGGTTAGTGCATGGGCTGATCGTCGACTCGGGCCTGATGTCTATCAAGCAGCTTCCTACGGTCAGTATGCCGCTCGGCTTTGGGTTTAGGGCTGAAGTACCCGAATAGCTAAAATCTGAACGCTGAACCCTAATTACACCCTATTCTCGTGTTTAGAATTTTGGGCCTGTGCTTCAGGCTAACCCAGACCCCTCATTAATAAACCCCCTCCCCCCAAATGGGGATTTTCATACGGATCCTTATTTTACGGCCCCTAGAAGGAGGAGGTTTACTAACCATGGGTCTGCATTATCCCGTTCGAAGGTTTGGGTTCAGGGGTTAAGGGTCAAGAGTTGCTGCGTGGCTTTTCCTTGGCGGTGCAGGGCTTCAGGTATTTGAATTGTAGTCTCAACTCCCTCAAAGGGGGCTATATCGGGGATTACGATAGGGGTTATTAAGGAGGATACTAGGTGTTAAGACCATGGCTCATATGAGGAGATTCATGACGACTGGTTTGCGTCAGGTAAGGGTTATCAAGGGATTGTGGTGTAGGGTTCTTAGTTCGTTGCCAGGAACCCGCTTACACTGAGAGCTTCGGGCCTTGGAGCGTTCCTCATTGTGTGGTCTGGGGTAGGAATTTGTCCCGAAGTTGAACGGGTCCTTTGGTCTGGGACACTCTCAGATCATGGGTTGTCTAACAAGCATGTCAACCCTAACCTCCCTCAACCCTACAACCTCCAGTCCTAAGCCACCGAAACCTAAACTGTACTGTAACGCCCTGAGCCTTAAATCCCCAAGCCCTAAAGTCGTAAGCCCGAGACAGCTTTAGGGTTTAGATCTAGATCCCTGCACTGTAAACCTTGCTTAGAAGCATGCAGAGAAATGCCTACATACCAATATTCTCTTTGGCAGTTAGCTAGGGCCTTAGACCCTTAGCTTTTTTGGGGTTCCTCCATATTCCAATTACAGGTGCCTAAGAGTCAACTTCTACTAGGGGTGTTAAGTGCTATGGTGTATTGAACACCCTGCGACACCCCTAACGTAACAGCGGTTTAGGGGGGAGGGTTTAGGGCATACGAATAAGAGTAAACACCACACACCTAGCATGTCATATATTCCCACCAGAGACGGTATATAGGGGGACACATCGGGTATTACGGGTGGGGCGGTGCTAAAAAAAGAAAACCTTGAACCTTAAGCCCGAACCCCTAACCCCTAACCCTAAACCCTAAACCCAAAGGATCAAGCAGAGTACCTGAGGTTGGCTCCGATGGTTTTCCAAGGCTGGAGCCCCACTTAGGGTTTAGGGGTTAGGGCCCTAAACCCTAAACCCTAAACCCTAAACCTAGGACTAAGGAAGGTTGCGGGCTCATGACAGGAGACGTCCTCAATCTTGAAGAGTGAGGACTATTTGGGGTTTATAGCAGGGGTTACGGCTGGCTGGTTAGGTAGCTGAGATTTAGGGATTACGCGCTGGGATCTGGAGATTGGGACGTGAATTTTGGGGTTGAGGTTTTAGGGCTTGGTGCGTTTGTAGATTTGGGCAGGGACATTGCTATACATATGGGCGCCCCCCATTTCTGCCAAATACAGTACTCCGGCAGGTTTGTTCGGGTTTACCTGGGGCCTCTTGGGCTGACGATGTTACTGTAGGGGATGCGCGTCTAGGCATTGCGAGATCTCGGAGTTCGTGGCTATATTGCATAGTCGAAGTTTTAAAGGTAACCTTTTATGTAGGCTTCGCAGCCCGCTTCAGGGCTCAGAGTTTGAGGAACATGTCCAGTCACTGAGTGGGGCACTCATCCGACAAAGACTTGCTTCAAACGTTTTAAGGAGAATCCATTCAAGCTGAGATTCTCCACACGGTTTAGAGTTTAGGGTTTAGGGTAGGGACGGGACCTTAGTGGAAAACCGGAGAGCTTTGCACCCGACACCAACATCCCTGCTACACCTAAAACCTCAAAAGAAATCAATAAACCCCCCAACGCCTCGAAATCCTACACCCTATAGTCTCCCTTAAGTAGATAGAATGTGGGGTATATGGGGATCTTAATATAATATACCCAACACATACTGAATCTACTTAAGGGGGCCTATAACCCCTCAACCCTACACCCTAAGCCCTAAACCCTAAACCCTACTTAAGGGGGACTATAACCTAGACAGGCCAGCCAGAGAAGCTGGCTCAACTTCCGGAGACCTGGGCCTTTCAAAGCATAAGCTGAGCTCTTCAGTAACAAGGGGATTAGGCTTTGGGCTAAGGGCTTAGGCTTAAGAATATTCACCCATGAAAAAGGTCCAGTGGCCAGAATACGGACTAGAGATTTTGAATGGAAAGTCCTGAGACTCTTTGACTCCCACTTCCAGACTCCGCCTTAACTTGTTTTTCTTCAGGCTCTGCCAGTTAGGCTCTAGGGTGTTTTTGTTGCCCCCAAATGCCTCTGCCTTTGAAGTCGTCTTTGTCCCCTAATTTGGTCCAAGAAGTCTTTAACACTAGGGGTTTGTAGAAATGTTGAGCTCGGATTGGGATGTTTTCAGGTGTAATAGCAGAACTTGTACAGGCTTGAAATGTAGCAATGGGCTGCGTAGGATTTGGGATGCCAACAAGAGCAAAGATGATTTTTGTGAGGTTTTCTGGTTCATGTACATTATAAGAAGGGTCGTGCTTTGTCTCGGCAAAGGAGCGTAGCGTCATTGAAGCTTTGGAAGGCAAGGCCGCATCAGGTCAGCGTGTTTTTATTCATCCATTTGAGGAACTCGGGTTTGAGTTGGCTTTGTTGTGTGTAGCAACCAGCAACGTTGGCGTTTTTAGCCTTGCTGTGACCCATGACGACTGCCACTATTCTGATTGTAATCACTGCTACACGCACGTTTCCTGACAATAATTGTGACTGTTTCCCTACCATAGGCCTACTAACCTGGTGAGACGAAGTTACATATTCGTAATCCCCCAGGCCTAAAAATAAAGAGAGCCCAAGCCCCAAAAGCATTGGAGAAGTATTTCCCCAAGCCCTATAAACCCTAATACCTTATCTTCGTAAAAGCCCCTAAACCCAAAAAAGCCGCAACAAAACCTAAAACCTAAATCCTAAACCCTGAAATCCTAAACCCTAAGCCCTGAACAACCGGAGCTTGCTACCAAGGAGCCCTTCGACACACTCGGGAAGCTGTCTGCTATAGGATGCCCCACACTTGTCTCTAGACCGCGCTTGGGGTTTAGGGTTTAGGCCTTAGGCTTTAGGATTTAGGGTTTAGGATTTAGGGTTTAGGGTTCAAGGATTTAGGATCTAGGGTGCAAGGATTATTGTTTTAGGGTTCAAGGTTTTTGTAAGGTTTAGGGTTCAAGGATATAAGATTCAGCGTTCAAGGACGAAGGGGGTTATGCACGGGGTTGGGCTTCAAGGATTGAGGGGTTTAGAGTTCACGGATGTAAGTTCTATAGGGTTTCAAGTTTCCTTGTCACTTGCCGCTAGCGAAACATACAAGATGTTTCCAAATGGTTTGATGGGGTTCTCTACAATAAGAATAATAGAATATCGGGTTCCATATTGGGGCATCTTTGTTTATGGAAGCTACCATAACACGTTTTTAAAACAACAACTCTAATCATCACGCGATGTGGGCTGCGATTCATAATCTCGTTTCAAGCCCCATGTGCAGCTATGCGCACCCTTTTTGATCCCTTGCGAGCGAGGGTTCGATTTGAGTGGAAGGGGCCAGTCCCAACGGCTCCAGTGTTCCGTTGCATCAAGTCAACAGTGGGCCGTGACTGTTGGCAACTACAAGGTACAGTTGAGGGCATAATGCAGACCCCTGATGAATATACCCCCTCCTTTTGAGGGCCTTAATATCAGGATCCCCATTAAGGGGAGGGGGTCTGTTAATCATGGGTCTACATGACAGTTGAGGGCAAAAGGGAATGCTCAGTATCGACCTCCAGAAGGCCGGTGGAATCCGCACATAATTTCCCAAAATAAGGGGTACCTTATTGGGGGGTCTCCAGAATAAGGATTGTAGTATATTGGGGTCTATATTGGGGTCCCCATATTTAGGGAAGCTACCATATATCCCTAGCGTACCTAGTGGCCCCAATCTCGAGAAATCACCGGAAAGAAGGGTACTTTTTATAAGAGTTGACAGCCTGGTAAGGATATTCCGGCTCCCTCATCCTTTGTTGCAGGTTGCCCTATACGTTTACAAAGAATTTACTGCGACTAGAGGCCTTTTGACATGCATGCCATGCGTGCAAGTGCAACACAAGCCTATCTTCACTGTGCGACAGCCTTAAACCCTTAACCTTAATATGCATCTGCAGATCGCTGAGATCCAAGGTATCAAGTTTCGAGCTTAGTTTTTGACACAGTTTCAGAAGCTGTCATCTAGAGCTCAGGTGTTGTGGGCGTAGGGGTTTAAGATCCCAAAACTTGACATCCCTAAGCCCAAAACAAACCCAAATCCCTACACCTGAGCCCCAAAACCTTTAACCCTACACCCTAAATTCCCAAATCCCAAACCCTAACCCCAAAGCCTTCAACTTATGTTGGCATTCTTCCCGGAAGCCTTATCAGATATTGTGTAGGGTTTAGGGTGACCAAAGACTTTGTCTGAAGATTATTCACCCTGACTGGGCTGCTCAGTTTTCTAGGGCTTGCCCTAAAAATTACACCCTAAACCCAAACCCCAAAAAAGTAACCCCTATTTTGGGGGCAGGCCCCTGTTCTTCTTAGGTCACTGAGGACCCTGCCAGAAGAAACACCTCCACCCAGCCGCCTCTGAGGTCATGCACGGGGACAAGGATGAAATAGCTTCTTGGCCACTGGGTTTAGGGTTTATGGCTTAGGTTTTGGGGCTTAAGGCTTAGTTTCCAGGCAACTTTCTGCGCAGAATGTTTGACTTACTTGTGCAGGTTCTCAGAACTCTGCTTTGTCAAACTAACGGACCCTAGGGCAGCCTGAGGGTGATATCTAAACCCCAACCCACAACATCCCGGCAATGCCAAACAACACTTCATAAAGGAAGTAAGGAAACAAGCTCATCTACTACGGCCCGTGAAGCCCATGAAATGGTGAACTCAGGCTCTCGGAATGTATTTAATATGAGCCATAGTCTAAATTCCCAGTATCCCCCTTCATAACCCCCACAAGACTCCCCAATATAATCCTCTATAGAACGCCAGTGAGGACTTTTGATTATGGCTCATTTAATATGAGGGTACATCTAAATTGTGGACACCTGCTCTAAACTCTATAGCCTTAGATGAGCTATTGTCAATACTAGCCCTTTTAAGGGACCCTTAACAGTGGACAGGTAGTTTAGTATAGTCCCTAACATAGCAACCTACGCCCATTAAATTATACAGGAAATATTGACTGTAGCTTTCTTTTCCCTACAATCCTGGCATCCCACACAGTCTATTGTGCCCTAAGCCTTAAGCTAAAGCTTAATTCGCAAGCCCTGAGCCCTTTCCTCCACTCTTCAAACCTTTACCCCTAAACCCTAAACCCCCAACCCTATTCCCTATATGACCCGTATATCACCCGTAAATAGCCCTCATATTACTTTTAAAGGGCCTATTCCCTAAACCCTAAGCCCTCAACCACCCAGGTGTCTCATCAGCTAAACCCTAAACCCTAAACCGCCCAGGTTCCTCATCAGCAGGCTGTGCAATGCCATGAAAAACTGGCCACGGCAAGCAAGAAGTTCCAGACCTGGCCAGGCAAACCTTTGGCAGGGGTGAGCTATGGGCAGAAAGAGCGAGAGAGAGCGAGAGAGAGATTCTGATATGCATACATATGCGTACCTATAAACCTCCATCTAACTACGTATGGCTAGATATGTATATATAAATACACAATAGACATACCTGCAAAGCCCCAAACCCTACACACCTACATGCATACATACATGCGTACATACATACATACTTATGGTTTAGGGTTCCAAGCTTTGGGTTCAGCCTCTAGACATGAAGGTAGACATGCAGGTTTGGGCGTCTATGCATATGTACACACAGATACTCACACATATATACTTGTATATGTTAAGATATAGGGAATTGTAGGGATATATAAATATCTGCAGACGGATAATATAGCGACTAGACGTATGCAGGACTCGGGTGAATATGCACCCCTATAAAAAGGAACCATGCATGAAAATGAAGTGGAGGCTGGGACTGTATATGGCAGGTTTCCAAAATGATCGTCCTTTTTAATGTATCCTGCCTCCTGAACCCCAAACCACAACCCTGAACCCTAAAGTTTGTGGGGGGGATTTTGGCGTGGTCCCAAGACACACAAAAGCAATAAGCCGCATAATAAGCCAACTTGCAGCATTGCTGTCTCCCTGTTGATTCGTCAGCGCTTCTAGGGTTTGCTGTTTAAGAGTTCTAGCGCTGACTATGTTCAAACATGCAGGGCTACGGGTCTAGATCCCGAATTTTGTTTATGTAATGTTAGGGCCTTTGTTTGCGAGAAAGCTCCTTGCTAGGTGCAGGGCACAACGATTGCTGGGCTTTGTACCTTGCTCCATGGAAGCAAGAGGTCAGCGCGTTGTTGGAGCAGGCGCGGTAAGAGTGCTGGTTACGTAAAGAAAGGCCCCAAAGAATCCCGAATATTCTCCTAAAGCCTTTGAGCACGTAGGTCGTTTCTGATGCCCTAAAGCCCTTTGTGTATTGCTTGGCCCACTTGATTGGGCGTTTGCCTGGGCTTCTGAGAATTGTGGTTCCAGTTTGTGTGATGATAAAGCAAGTCAAGGGTATACGGGGTCTGCAATTTGGGACCAGTGTCCACTCTTAGGGTTTTGCATCGGGAAAGCTACTGTTGTATTGCTGCAGTACTTCCGTTTGCTTGACTTCTGCGCCAAGCCTTAGATCAACAGCGCTGCCTGAAACCTTACCCGTACCCCAAAACCACAAAAACCTTAAACCATAAACCCTAACCTTAAACTCTCAGTTACAGCAAACCCCAATCTTAGCGCTAAACCCTTGTCCCCGGAATCAAGAGGCCAATGGCTTCGAGATTACCTTCCCTTCTGGGGCGTTAGTTGAGACGCACTCGCTGTCGGCGGAAGCCATGAACGGTCTCCAGGCGCGCGAAATTTGGGGTTTAGGGTTGAGGGTTTTACTGTTTGGGGGTTGAGGATTTAGGGTTTATGAGGTTTTGGTTATTGGAAAGCAGGTGGCCTCCCCCAAACTGACATGGAACCCCACATGACCAAAACAATGGTCGTGTTTTGGACGATTCCATGTTAGCTCGGGTGAGGGTAGCGGATGCTCCCGTAGCAAAGGAGCAACGGTGTCACCGAGTACAGAAGTTCAATAACAGGGGGCACGAACTAGTCAAATGTGCGCTGGGTCTAAACCATAAACCCCAAACCTTAAGCCCTAAACCCTCAACCGTGTGCAGAGCCTTGGTATCCAGGAGCCTACTTCATCCTTCATTAATCAAGACACCGCAGCGTGTACAAGCGTTCTTCACATGATTCAGGAATCTTGCTTAGACAACGGGTGTTGACCTGGTGAACGGTTTTGGGTCTAAGGCACCCAAAACTGCGACCCTCTTTCGGGGGGGGGGGTGTCTTCTCCAGAAATTCCTATGCGACCTGCAGAAAAAGGGGATGGCAATTCTCAAAATGTTATGCGATATCCTGGCACATGGGTTGCTTGCGCAAGGCTTCCCTTCATTCTTTTTCAGGTTTAGGGTATGCGGTCCTTCAACCCCTAAACCCTATGCCCTAAGCCCTGAAACTCTCTAAACCCCGCAAGAGCCGACAAACTGTCTTACCCTTAAGTTGCAGATTTTCTCCTGACATTTGAGACAAGAGATGCCCTGTAGTCTTCATAACCTTCCCACAGAAAAGCCTACCCAACCCTAAAGAGATGAAATTCATGCCTGTCCTGTATGTAATGTTCAGTATCCCAGGTATAGTATGCTAGTTCTGGGACCTAGACAAGGGAGCCTGCAACCTCCATGTGCGTGCGGAAAGTCTTGTGGAATATATGAGCGACAGTCCATGGCAGCAATTATCTAAAGGACCCTTAATGGTGTACATAGGGTCCCTCTTGTAGCTATGGTCCCAGATAGTCCCTCATAGGGAACCCATGTCCATAAATTATGTCCGAAATATTGACTGTAGATCATGTCGAACCCAAAGCCTAAAACCTGATCACCTGAACCCTGGTCAGGGACGTGTTCTTGGACCTCAAGGAGACCGCTTTCGTGTGGACCTCCCGGAGCACGGTGAGAAGGCACGGGAGAAACAGCTCCACCCGAAACCCTAAGCCCTGAACCCTAAACCTTCAGCCCTAAACCCTGAGCCCTGAACCCTGAACGCTATACCCTGAACCCTAAACCCTGAACTCACCTGAGGCCCGGAACTCAAGCTATACCAAGCCCAGGATAACCCCCTACACGGCATCTACAAGGATTACTCCCCTGCCCCTAACATTAAACCCCTCCATCGGGTTTAGGGCTTAGCGCCCACCATCCCCCCTACATCCTAAGCTTTAACCTCCAAATAAATCCTAGAGATTAAGCCCTGATCACTAAACCCCCAAGTCCTAAACCCTAACCCCTCAACCCCTAAACCCTAAACCCTAAATTCGTCAGATCAGGCTCTGAAGCCCACCAACCTGAAGATTTTGGATCTGCAGCCGGAGAAGGGACGCTTGTCTGTGGGAAGTGGAGGTTCTCCGGGGCTTCTATCCTTAGGGGCCTCCAAAATACTTTTTAATTTGTGTGCCTGATATTTTTTAACCTTTGGCCATTATAATGTTTTTCAATTTTTGGACCTTACATTTCTTTTGGGGCCTTATAATCCTAATGACAACCAAAAATGTTCATCTTTAGTGGGGCTCTGAGGCCAGTTTAGTCTATGAGTATGGTTTTTCAGGGTTTTACGGTTGACGGTCCGGGTCGTTTGCTTCTTCAGGTTGTTGGGGCTCTTTCGCTGTGGGAAATCATGGGGTTTCTCAACAAAATTGGCTGCCTTGCCAAAAACAGCTCTGAGAGTTTTATCGTTTGAGGGTCGCATTTCGGGATTCAGAACGTCAGCATTTGAATAGATGGTAGAACTTTCAGAAGAGGAACATGTTCGCTACTTCTGTTCTATCTACTTGCGACACCTGCGTGTAGGGTCCCCCTTGTCATAGTTTTTGGATATAAATACCTTGTAGCTTAGGATGTCTAAGCCTATCCGTGCCTGTACTGAAAGCGCAAACGCTCGATGCACCTCGGAAGGACGACCCAAAACTCCTGAACGCCAGACCCTACATAAGCATAATGGAGAATCACATCGAAGAGAAATTGAAATGACATGGAACCTAGTGTGATAAAGGACTTTAAGGTTAGGCTACTGTCAATATTAGGGTTACCACGGTCCCTCTTGTTGTTGTATCATCCCTAATGTGTTCCCTAATGGCATCTAATGGCTAAACCCTTAACCCTTGACCCTGTGGAGCCTTAAGGAATGTGTGAGCCCAGGAGAGTACAGTATTGTCTGAAGCTCATAACATCCCTACACGGCTGGTGCAGAGCTAGCTCAGAACCAGGCCCCCAAAACTGGATCAATGTTAGGGATCCTTCATACCGTTGGGGGTATTGGGATTACTCATATTTATGTGAAGAGGATCTTGCTCTCTTCCTAGGGTAATGTTTCGCTAAGGAAGCCCCAGAACCTAAAACACGATCTACATGCTTCTGAAGCCAAAGGACACCCCCAAAAAGTGAGACGGTCAAAGGCCAGGAGTTTAGGGTTTAGGGTTTTTAGGTTTAAGGGTTTAGAGTTTAGGATGTACGGTTTCGGGATGAGGGCTCAGGGTGTAGGGTTTAGGGCTTAGAGTTTAGGGTTTAGCTGTTTCGATTTCCTTGTATATTTGGAGTAGCTGCATGTAAGCGTCGTGAAGCACTTTTCTAAATCCTAAACCCTAAACCCTAAACCAGGCCATGTAAGCCGCATATACCCCTTCTAGGAGTTTCCCAATTGCATCATCCTCACACAACCCTGACGGCCCCTGTAGTTCTTCTTTTGTCTCCATACATCCATGTGAGCAGTATTTTATTTGGGGATACTATGGTACCCAATATAGAGTAAGATTCTATCATTTTTTGGGGGTATAGTCTCTTATATAAGGAATATTATCTTACGCGGTTCAACCACCAAAAAAAGACTACTCATATGGTCTCAAGGAGCCTGTTGTAGAGAGGCCCGTATTATCGCTAAAACGTCAAGCCTACATTATCCTTACAGAGCACACACTCCAGACCCCTTTTCCGACAGCTACAAACCAAACCCCCACCCTAACCTTATGTCAAGCAAGCTAATTATGTGGAGGGTTGGGGGTGCTTAGCCCTTACGTACACATGGACTCATGTCCCGATTACAAGGAATAGGTTTGGACTTCACCTTTTTAATTACGGGTATGGTGAGATTAAACCATGAACCTCCAATTGCATCTCAACCCTGAACCCTTAACCCTTGACCCTAACCACCACCATCCCCAAAATGCAAGGCCTGGACCCTTTACCCTAAACTCCAAACAACAACAAAACGCACCTAACTGAACCCTTGACCCTTAACCCTAGACGCCGTCCCCCGCCCGGCAAAAAATCACATGCCGAACCCTAGGTGTGATGGACTTCCCAATCGGGGCGACAGTGGAAGCGCATTCTCTGTCGGCTCCGACCTTCAACGGCCTCCAGGGCAAGGTGGGGATCCCTCGTTATAAGAGCGCGATTAGGTTTAGGGTTCAGGGTGGTTTTCAGAGCGCGATTTCGTGTTTAGGGTTTTAGGGTTTGGGAAAGTGGGGCATATATAGGGGTTACGCCGAGATATACCTAAACCCTAAACACACTTCATTATAGGGGGGGAATATTGAGACATAGAAGAGTTCTATAGGGGTATGCAGGGAATTCAAAGTAGGGCTTGGGATTTAGGATTTAGGCCTAAGGGTTAGCGCCTCCTTTTGGGTATAGTATCTAACAGAGGAGTATTTAACTTGACCCAACTACTGAAAACACTGCTTAGATGTTGGAACTACGGCCGTGCCTTTTCGCAACCCTTCCTACCCTCCCTGAAGCCTTCTGCCGCCTGACTAACAAGCCTTAGACCCCTCCGCAGAACCCGAAGTGCAATCCGCCCTCGGGATAGGTCACCGCCTCTTCCTACAATGTAAACCTACAAGGGGTTTAACTAACATGGAAACCCAAAAAGTGCCCTATAAAGACTACAGTCCTTCTAAAAGGGGGCTATATGAATTTCCATGTTAGTTTGGGGGGTTTAGGGTTTAGGGTTTTCAGGGTCTGATTGTACAAGGGGTTTAGGGTTTGGACACATCAGGGACCGCCAACGGCAACCGTCACCCCGCCCAAAAATGTAAGCTCGTTAGATACGGAAACTTGCTTGACACTCTCCTCCGTCTAGCACCGTCTGGCAGAATGAAGAATAGTCCCAGCAACTACCCCCTAAACCCTGTAACCCTAAGACCCCTATCTGAGCCGGAGCTGCTGTCGATATTTTGGCTACCACGAGTACAAGAGACCAATTAGAGTAAACATAGGGCTTAGTATAGTCAGGAGTGTATACCCCAACGGGAACCCATCTTCATCTCTAAACCCCAGACCCCACACCCATTATAGTAGTTTCCATTTTCTCTTCCATTATCCCCTATATAACCCTAATCCACGGGCATAATGACCGTAGCTCATCTCGTATCGAGGAAACAGAAATGCCTTGCAAAAATCAGAGCCTGAAGACTGCTGAGGGCTTCTTCGGACGCATCCCCTACATGGTATGAAAGTTCCCGGCAAGACAGACACCCCACACAAATCCACATTCACTCAGAAATGCATCCCTAACCCTAAACCACGCCTCCTTAAGCCCAACTTGTTTGGCCAGGTGCTGGGAATCTTGGATTCCGAACAAAGCATCTTGTTGAGCATGCTTTGGTTCGTTCGTTTCGCGAGTGTTCTATGGCAGGCTGCTAAGAACAAGTTTCGTTCTTTTCAACCCGAACCCAGATCATCAAACATCAAAGCCTCTTTGGGGTTTATGGTTTAGACCCTAAACC